AGCGTGCCCACAGCAAGCGTGCCGACAGCAAGCGCGCCAACCGCAAGGGCGCCCACAGCAAGCGCGCCAACAGCAAGCGCGCCAACAGCAAGCGTGCCAACATCAAGTGCGCTGACATCAAGCGCGCCGACAGCAAGCGCGTCGACAGCAAGCTCGCCGACAGCAAGCGTGCCAACATCAGGCGCGTCGACAACAAGCGCGCCGACATCAGGCGCGTCGACAACATGCGCTCCCACAGCAAGCGCGCCGACAGCATGTGTGCCAACAGCATGTGCGCTGACGACAAGTGCGCCCACAGCAAGTGCGTTAACAGCAAGGGCGCCAAAAGCAAGTGCGCCCAAAGCAAGTGCGCCAACAACAAGTGCGCCAGCAGCAAGTGCGCCAACAGCAAGTGCGCCAACAGCGAGTGCGCCAACAGCAAAAACGCCAACAGCAAGCGCGCCAACAGCAAGGGCGCCGATAGCAAGGGCCCCAAAAGCAAGTGCACCAAACGCAAGTGCGCCAACAGCAAGCATGCCAACAGCGAGCGCGCCAACAGCAAGCGCGCCAACAGCAAGCGCGCCAACAGCAAGCGCGTCGACAGCAAGCGTGCCAACATCAAGTGCGCCGACAGCAAGCGCGCCAACATTAAGCGTGCCCGCAACAAGCGTGCCAACAGCAAGCGCGCCAACAGCAAGGGCGCCCACAGCAAGCGCGCCAACAGAAAGCGCGCCAACAGCAAGCGTGCCAACAGCAAGTGCGCCAACAGCAAGTGCGCCGACAGCAAGCTCACCGACAGCAAGCGAGCCGACATCAGGCGCGTCGACAACAAGCGCGCCAACATCAGACGCGTCGACAACAAGCGCGCCGACATCAGGCGCGTCGACAACAAGCGCGCCCACAGCAAGCGCGCCGACAGCAAGTGTGCCAACAGCATGTGGGCTGACAGCAAGTGCGCCCACAGCAAGTGCGCTGACAGCAAGGGCACCAAAAGCAAGTGCGCCAACATCAAGTGTGCCAACAGCAAGTGCGCCAACAGCAAGTGCGCTAACAGCAAGTGCAGCAAGTGCGCTAGCAGGAAGTGCGCCCACGCAAGTGCGCCAGCAGCAAGTGCGCGAAAGGCATGTGCGCCAACAGCAAGTGCGCCGACAGCAAGTGCGCCAACTGCAAGTGCGCCAACAGGTGCGCCAGCAGCAAGTGCGCCAACAGCAAGTGCGCCAACAGCAAGTGCGCCAACAGCAAGTGCACCAACAGCAAGGGCGCCAAAAGCAAGTGCGCGAAAAGCAAGTGCGCCAACATCAAGTGTGCCAACAGCAAGCATGCCAACAGCAAGCGCGCCAACAGCAAGCGCGCCGATAGCGAGCACGCCAACAGCAAGCACCACAACAGCAAGGGCGCCGACAGCAAGTGTGCCAAAAGTAAGTGCGCCAAAAGCAAGTGCGCCAAAAGCAAGTGTGCCAACAGCAAGCATGCACACAGCAAGCGTGCCGACAGCAAGCGCGCCGACAGCGAGCTTGACAACAACGAGCGTGCCAACAGCGAGCGCGCCAACAGCGAGAGCGCCAATAGCAAGCATGCCAACAGCAAGCGCGCTGATAGCAAGCGTGCCGACAGCAAGCGTGTCCACACCAAGCGCGCCGACAGCAAGCTCGCCGACAGCAAGCGCGCTAACTGCAAGTGTGCCTACAACAAGTGCGCCAACAGCAAGTGCGCTAACTGCAAGTGCACCGACAGCAAGTGCGCAACAGCAAGTGCGCCCAGGCAAGTGTGCCAACAGCGAGTGCGCGAAAGGCAAGTGCAGCAGCAAGTGCGCCAGCAGCAAGTACGCCAACAGCAAGTGCGCCAACAGCAAGTGCGCCGAAAGCAAGTGCGCCGAAAGCAAGTGTGCCAAAAGCAAGTGCGCCAACAACGAGCGCGCCAAGAGCGAGCGCACCAACAGCGAGCGCGCCAACAGCGAAAACGCCCAACAGCAAGCGCGCCAACAGCATGCGCGCCAACAGGAAGGGCGCCGATAGCAAGGGCGCCAAAAGCAAGTGCGCCAAAAGCAAGTGCGCCAACAGCAAACATGCCAACAGCGAGCGCGCCAACGGCAAGCGCGCGAACAGCAAGCGCGTCGACAGCAAGCGTGTCGGCAGCAAGCGCACCGACATCAAGTGCGCTGACAGCAAGCGCGCCAACATTAAGCGTGCCCACAGCAAGCGTGCCGACAGCAAGCGCGCCAACAGCAAGGGCGCCCACAGCAAGCGCGCCAACAGCAAGCGCGCCAACAGCAAGCGTGCCAACATCAAGTGCGCCGACAGCAAGCGCGCTGACAGTAAGCTCGCCGACAGCAAGCACGCTGACATCAGGCGCGTCGACAACAAGCGCGCCGACATCAGGCGCGTCGACAACATGCGCGCCCACAGCAAGCGCGCCGACAGCATGTGCGCCAACAGCATGTGCGCTGACAGCAAGTGCGCCCACAGCAAGTGCGCTGACAGCAAGGGCGCCACAAGCAAGTGCGCCCAAAGCAAGTGCGCCAACAACAAGTGCGCCAACAGCAAGTGCGCCAACAGCAAGTGCTCCAACAGCAAGTGCGCCAACAGCAAGTGCGCCAAAAGCAAGCATGCCGACATATAGCGCGCCAACAGCAAGTGCGCCAACAGCAAGCGTGCCAACAGCGAGCACGCCGACAGCGACAGTGAGTGCGCCAACAGTGAGCACGCCAACAGCGAGCGCGTCAACAGTGAGCGCGCCGACAGCGAGCGCGCCAACAGCGAGCGCGCCAACAGCAAGCGCGCCAACAGCAAGGGCCCCGACAGCAAGCGCGCTGACAATTAGTGCGCCAAAAGCAAGGGCGCCAAAAGCGAGCGCACCAACAGCAAGTGAGCGAGCGCGCCAACAGCGAGTGCGCCAACAGCGAGCGCACCAACACCGATGCGCCAACAGCAAGCGCGCCGACAGCAAGCGCGCCGACAGAATGCTCGCCAACAGCAAGCGCGCTGACAGCAAGCGCGCCGACAGCAAGCGCGCCGACAGCAAGCGCGCCGACAGCAAGCGCGCCGACAGCAAGTGCGTCCACAGCAAGTGCGCCGACAGCAAGTGCGCCAACAGCAAGTGCGCTAACAACAAGTGTGCTAACAGTAAGTTCGCCCAGGCAAGTGCACCAACAGAAAGTGCGCCAACAGCAAGTGCGCGAAAGGCAAGTTTAGCAGCAAGTGCGCCAGCAGCAAGTGCGTCAACAGCAATTGCGCTAACAGCAAGTGCGCCAACATCAAGTGCGCCAACAGCAAGTGCGCCAACAGCAAGCATGCCGACAGAAAGCACGCTAACAGCGAGCGCGCCAACAGCGAGTGTGCCAACAGTGAGTGCGCCAACAGCAAGCGCGCCAACAGCAAGCGCGCTAACAGCAAGCACGCAAACAGCAAGTGCACCAAGAGCAAGCGCGCCGACAGCAAGCGCGAAATGCGTCGGCGAGCAAGGCGCCAGCGCGAAACGCGCCAGTGCGAAACGCGCCAGCGCGAAACTTGCCCGCGCGAAGGCGCCATGGCGAAATGCGCCAGCGCGCAATGCGGCAGCGTGAAATGCGCCGGCGCGCAAGGCGTTGGCGTGCCTGCAGGTTTACGTGCTTGGCGTCATCAACATGCAACTAGTCTGGGCTAGGTGACAAATATGCGTGGTAAGGATAAAGAACTATATTCGAGCTTGAACTAGGTACTATGGGCAAGGAACTAAGTGTCAGCAAGGAATAGGTAGCGAGGACTATTCAGTACGAGCAAGAACCAAGCACGAGCAAGGAGCGGACAACGAGGTGCAATGAGGGAGGGACAAGCCGAACAAGAACGAGACACTGTTGCCAGACAAACCCTAGCAAAATGGAAAGAAAAAGGTGTGGGGGAAATGCGAAATTTCAAAATAAGTATTGATATATTCAACCCATCCGATGATGACGTCGAGTCTTTTTTTTAAATTAGTTTTAGTTTTAGTTTTTTTTAGGTTTTTTTTTTAAGTTTTTTTTTTTTTTTTTTTTTTTTTTTTTTTTTTTTTTTTTTAACGTTCTGCAACATTCCAATACCCTCACTCAACCAAATCTGCTGATCATGCCCGTTCCTAACCAACATGGGCACTTTCCACCTCCGCAACGTGGGGTATGCGTTAGAATCAGATAAATTCGAAAGAACTAATTTGCTTGGTTGTGTAGCAGGGCTGATTTTATCAGATTTTATCAGACTATGTAGTCCGATTAGTTTGAAATTCATACCCATCTTTTTACCAAACCTGAAATATAGACCCATTTGTAGCCCACTTTCCCAATCCTGATCACTTCAGAGCAGGCCCTCATATTGGTTTTAGGGAGGCTGATTGCTCAGGGTCGCCCATGTGAGAACCCATGTTTTTCAGGGTCGGGTTTTGGGCGTCGCATGTTTTTTCAAACCATTTTATGTTTTTGTCTGACTAATCAGGCCTTCATTTTTGTAGTTTCTGATTCGTAGGTCAGATCTGACTTCACTGCGTATAATTCTCCTCGGACTACCTGCGCTATTTTAGCCAAGGACCTGTCAACCCCCTCACACCTGCTCGAGCTCGCCTCGAACTTGCGTGATTCTGGTCGAGGGCCAATCACGCCCCTCAAACCTGCTCTAGCTTGCCTCGAACTTGCGTGATTCTGGTCAAGGACCAATCACGCCCCTCACATCTGCTCCAGCTTGCCTCGAACTTGCGTGATTCTGGTCAAGGATCAATCAGCCCCCTCACACCTGCTCCAGCTCGCCTCGAACTTGCGCGATTCTGGTCAAGGACCAGTCACGCCGCTCACACGTACTCTAGCTCGCCTTGGCAGATAAGATTCAGTTTCAGGGCGAATTTTGAGTAAGGTTGATTTGTCAAGCTCGGCAAAACAAAAACACACTATTTTTCAGGCCTTAGAAAATGGGAACACATAAATTTCAGGTTTTATTAAAATCAAAACCTGAAAAATCAGGGTATGCCCTAAAAGACACCCTGATATACACGCTTTCACGCCTTTTTGGCCTGAGTTCTGAAGCCCTGCTTGAGAGTATGATTTTAGGGATCCTTAAAAAATCAGACTTGGCGCGAACCCAGCATTGAGTTTCCAGAGCACAGCGCGTACAAACCTTGAAACAGATATACCATACTACCAGGCCCCCAAATTGCAGCCTTTTTACGCTAATTCAGTTTTTTTCCAGGTTTTGTTTGTTTTTTTGTGTGTGTGTGTTTTTTTTACCTACGCTGATTGTTCAATTTTTTTTTGGGTTGCGGAGCAACCTATTGCAATCGATCGGACAAGGTTTTTTCACCCAATCTCTAAAATAATTAACATATATTCTTGTCATTTCGTAAGAAACATCAAATGCACCGCACGGGTGTATTATATACACCAGAAATATTTTATCGTACATATTTTTTTGGCAGACCAGAACAATAATAACATTTTTTCGTTTGCGTAAATGGTTTCTTACGAAAAACCTTACTTTGAATCTTATCTTCTTTTGTACATGTATAAAGCGATGGAAAACAAATCGATGTACAGTATATTTGTTTTCCATAACTCCATTTTTGTCTATGAGACAAAAATAGCTCTCCCTTCTCTAGTGCTGGCAGGAAAAACTTGTATCGTGATTTATCCTAAAGATTGAAAATATGTGCACATATTTTCAGTTGATGCACAAATTACAGACAACTGAGGAACTTATAGAAAACAAATGTCGATAATTTGTTTCCTATTTTTTTTCTTGCTATAAAAAAATGCAACTTATCTATCGCTTCCCCATTGCTAGCATGGGGGGGAGAAACACAAAATGCATCGCACAAAGCGAGAAAGAACTAGACAAAAAAAAAAAAAACAAAAAAAAAAAAACGTATGGAATCAAAATATGGAACACAAAGAAAGCAATTAACAACAATTAACAAAAATAGCAACCGTCTCCCATACAAGTCCACGGTCCAATATTGCTAGCACCTTCCAGAAAAGGCCTGAACCACAATGAACAAAAAAGAAGAATAGAAGAGAAGAGGAGAAAGAGACGTTACTGCGAGAGGATGACAATGAGCGGATAAAGAGTGGTGAGTATGAGAAGCAGCAAGAACAGAGGTAAGAGGAAGGTAAGAGAGAGAGAGTGAGGGAGAGGTAGAGGGAGAGGGAGAGAGAGAGAGAGCTAGAGAGAGAGAGAGAGAGAGAGAGAGAGAGAGAGAGAGAGAGAGAGAGAGAGAGAGAGAGAGAGAGGTAGAGAGAGAGCGAAAGAGGTAGAGAGAAGGGGGGCGAGAGAGGTAGAGGAAGAGAGAGAGAGAGAGAGAGAGAGAGAGGGAGAGAGAAAGAGAGAGAAAGAGAGAGAGAGAGAGAGAGAGAGAGAGAGAGAGAGAGAGAGAGAGAGAGAGAGAGAGAGAGAGAGAGAGAGAGAGAGAAAGAGTGCACCAACATCAAGAGTGCGCCAACATCAAGTGCGCCAGCAGCAAGTGCGCACCCAGTCGTACACCATGCGGGACTCCCCACAGCAGAATGGGGTCACTGAGCGACGCATTGGTTTGGTCATGGAGGTGGCTCGTACCTCCATGATCCATGCCAGTGCACCCCATTTTATGTTGTCATTCGCTGTTCGCTACGCCGCTCACCAGCTTAACCTGTGGCCGCACTCCCGGCAACCGCAAGTTTCGATGACCCTCCTCTGGACTGGGTTCCCTGGTGACGCACCTGCGTTCCATGTCTGGAGCTGCCTTGCTCACGTTTGTGCCTTTGGCACAGACAAGCTCACTGCAAGCACCATCCCTTGTGTGTTCCTTGGTTTCCCCCTAGACGCGTCTGACTGGCACTTTTTCAACCCGCCGTCTCACCGTTTCTTTCACTCTCGTGACGTTACATTTGACGAGTCTGTCTCCTTCTACACCCTCTTTCCCCACCGAGGTCTCCCGGTTGCCCCGCCCCTATTCCTGGTCCCCACTCTCCCGGTAGCCCCTGCTCCTCTTCCTCCCCATCCTGCCCCGTTTGGTGTGTCTCACGTCACTCCCCTCCGCCAGTTGTCTCAATGGAGGAGTCGGTTGACTCCGGAGGACCCCCGGCTTCGGTTTCGCCGCTCGCCTCCGCCCCGATGTCTCCTCCTCCTCCGTCGCCGCAGCAGCCGCAGTCGCCGCAGCAGCAGCAGAAGCCGCCTCCGGCGTCCCAGCCGTCGCAGCAGCCGTCGTCGTCACAGCCGCCGCAGGGGTCCGCGAGCTCTGGGGGTGTGGGCGTTGAGGAGGGTGCTAGTCCTGGGGGTACTATCGTGGCTTCTCCCGGCAGTCCTGGGGGTGGCACCGGTGTTGGAGAGGGTTCTCGTTCTGGGGTTGCTGTCGTGGAGCATCCCGGTCGTCGCAAATGTGCAGCTAGAGGTTCTGGTGTCGGTGTGGAGCAGCAGCCACAGGCGTTGCCGTGTCTGCCCTTCGCCTCCTCGGTCTTCCCTCCCCTGTCCGCCCGCCTTCGCCTCCCCCGCCTGTCTACGGCCCTGTGTTTCCTCCGCCGGACTCGTCTCTGGCTCGTTTCCCCCAACGTTCTCCTCCTTTGTTTCCTCCTCTATCTCTTGACCCGACGCCTCTGTCCCACTTCTGGTCTCGCCGTCCCTCTCGTGCTCGTCCCGTCTCTCCTGTCCAGCGTCCTCACCCTATGTTGCTTCGTTCCCACGCGTCTCATCCTCCCCTCCTCCCGTCGCCTCCTCCGTCATCGCGGGTTGTCGCTCCGCCTCCCCTGTCTGACTTCCTCCGTGCAGCTAGTCCTCTTGTTCCTCGGGTCCTCGCCTCTCTTGTTACAAACCCGTCTGTTCCTAACTCCAGTCTTGACGCTCTTGTCGCTGCCGTCACTGACTTTGCCTCTTCCTGCTCCATCGGGGGAGCTGCTGCTCTTGGCAGTGACGTCTTGGAGGACCGGCAGTACGAGCTAGCTTTCCTATCCGAGGCCGCGCCTCATCTCTCCTCCATGCTGCTAGTCCCTGAGGGTGACCAAGACGCCTTGTCATCCCGAGCCCTTGCACTTACACTGAGGTGACCTCGGGGCCCTGGGCCTCCCCGTGGATAGCTGCCATGGACACGCAAATGGCATCTTGGAGATCCACCGGCACCTACGTCGATGCAGTTCCCACACGTAGGGTGAACGTAGTCGATGGCCGGTGGCTCTTCAAGGTGAAGCGCCCTTCTAGAGAGCTGCCGGTGTTCAAGGTGCGCTACGTTGCTAGAGGCTCCAGTCATCACAAGGGTGTTGACTTTATTCGGACCTTCGCCCCGACCCCGAAGATGAATACTCTTCGGGCGCTGCTACATGTAGCAGAATAGCGTGACTACGAGCTGCACTCTCTCGAGTTCTCAACAGCATCTCTTCAGGGCAGTCTGCACAAACAGGTTTACCTGCGTCGCCCACCAGGCTTCACCGACACCTTCGCCCCAGGGACCCAGTGGCTCCTCCGGCGCCCAGTTTACGGCCTGCGGTAGGCGCCGCGTGAGTGGCACAATATGCTTCGTTCTACGTAAGCTCACCAGCAGTTCTTCCCGTCCTCTGCAGACCCTTCTCTCTTCGTTCGTTCAAGTCAGACGCCGTTCTACATCCTTGTTTACGTAGACGATCTGGTCTTTGCTACTGCAGACAGAGTCGCACTGGCCTCCGTGAAGGCTGAGCTGCTAAGGAGACACACCTGCATTGACCAAGGAGAGCTACGCCGCTACCTTGGCCTGCAGATCTCCAGGGACAGAGCAGCACGCATCATCACTCTCACACAGTTACACTTGGTGCGCCAGGTCCTTCAGAGGTTCGATCTTCAGTTCTCCTTCGCATAGCCCACTCCTCTGCCAGTAGAATATAGGCTCTCAGCACCAGTCCTTGAAGAGTTAATAGAGCCTAGTTTCCCGTACGCAGAGCTGGTGGGTTGCCTCATGTACCTAATGACTTGCACTCGTCCAGATCTCGCATACCCTCTCAGCATCCTAACTCGCTTTGTGGCCACAGGCAGACACCGACCACAGCACTGGTCGGCCGCTAAGAGGGTTTTGCGTTATCTAGCAAGTACATTGGGCATTGGGCTAGTGCTAGGAGGGCGCATGCTTGTGGTCCTTACAGGGCACACAGACCCAGTACCGCCCTGGGTTACTCTTGTTTTGTGAGGAGGGCTGGGGGAACTCACGAAAATAGCGGGTGGGGGGATGGGGGCTCGGAATCCGCTATTATACCTCATATGGCTTTGGAGAATCCGAATCTACCACGCGACGCACTCCTGTTCCGCAAAAGGCCAAAACTTGGGGCAAAACCGACTTTACAGTGAAAAACGGTTATGAATTGAAACGAAGGCATGTTTGCTAGTCGTCATGGAACCACGTGGGTATTCAACAATCTCATGTCACGCTAAGGCTATGTTACAACCTATATGCAAAATGAAACATAGCCAATCACACAAGTGAAACCACAATTGGTTAGAGTGCAATCCTTGGATCGTCTCTGATTGATGCGTCATTGGATAACCACAATCGGGCAAAGATCTGACACGTATTCCCTCATGTTGCACTTCGAGGGCTCTACTAAACCAGGCGACACAAACAGAGAATGTTGACATGTTCAATTGTATATTCATGAAATTCATAGGGCTCCTGTAACACTCGCGACCCAAAGCATGATGAGGTGTACATGAATGAGGGCCGGTCCCCGATAGGCTAAACAAACAGGGCTCACGACACTAGCACTAACGCCGAGCGTTCAGAGTCCACTCATAAAAAAACCCTGAAATTTCAGGGGTGTGTCTACAAAAGAACTGTCAAGTCAGGGCAGCCCCCAAAAAATCTTGATTCACTCTGAATTTGGGGAAAAAAACCCTACACTCTTAGGGTCTGGTAAGTAGGTCTGGTGTAATTTCCTTGGAATTTCACTAGTGCTGTACTTTCTCCGCGTTTTACCGTAATTCTTCGGATATAAGTGCTGCCATTTAATTAGCGCAATGTCACTTATAATCAGTTTTTTTCCTTAGAATTTTATCCGATTACAAGCGCCCCCTTCATTTTCCAAAAGATATTTCCTATAAGCGCCCTCTTTTTATTTGAAAACACTGCAACGGGAGTTGGTAACGCGAACATGCTATGGCGAATTCCTCTGCGATAACATTTCTTTTGCTGCAAAAGACTAGGGGACCGGATGGGGAGGGAGGGCTTCACTCACTCACCTCCTCTCAAGGCCCTCCCAATGGCCTCGCCAGCACTTCGCTGCTGCTGACATTTCACGTTAGCTACTCGACTTTGAGTGGACCAGAGCCTGTCACGCTTCGCCGCTCGTCCCTCGACTTTTCATCAGCATATTCTCCATTGTGAGCAAAATCATTCGACAGAAAATTAGCAAAGCTACAATTTAATGACCTCAGATATTTTTCCGTAACATCCTTATTATAAACGTTGCGTTTATATTTTTTATTCGATTACAAGCGCCCCCCAAAATTTGAAGGGATTTCCTATAAGCGCCCCAGGGCTTATGTCCGGGAGATTACAGTATGTGTGTGGCCCTGATTTCCCAGTGAAAAAAAAAAAAAAAAAAAAAAAAAAACTTGTGAACCCTGATACATCAATGATTTTTTCGCGGGGAGGCCTGAAAATCCAGGGGCGAGGGGGGTTGGGGGATTCCTGAGCAATCTGAGGCCCTGGGAGGAATCGTGACTATTGTTGGGCTGATAATAGCTCTAGGACCTTTTCAAAATGCGAAGTCCTTGTAACAGAGTGCTTGATAGCACTGCGGAAGTCTTGAGTTGAACCTTTGTACTGGTATATGAGGACAAGTGATTGATTATAGATAAGGGATACAAGGTTTATATAATAACACAAGAGAATATGAAGAGTCTAACTGTTTTGCACTTCAAGGGGTACATTCCCTTTTACGGCTCGACAAAGGCGACTCGGGTAACCACCCGTACTGTAATATCGGGACGGTTATTTGTCCTTATTGTGGCGCTGACTCTTGACTTTTGGGTTTCCGACTGTTGGGTTGCACGGTCAATGGTCTGTGACCGTTGCCCTTTCATAACCTCTGTGAGGTGTCGTCAACCTGTGTGAATCGTCAGGGTTACTGTAGCGGTGTTGACTCGGTAATCCTCGCTGTTGTAGTCTTCGCGTATTTCGTATACTCATGCGAGACTCCGGAAATGCCTTAAGTCATTTTATCATTTCCAACACCCTCCTTCATTTCGAGAGTGTCGATGAGTTCGAGGTCGCTGACGTATTGCAGTCCAGTCAGCAGCATGCAGTACTGGAACTTGACTTTCATAAGCTTTTTGGTCAAGTAGTCGGCTGCCATTTCAGTGGTGGGGCAGTAGACCAATTGAAGGCGACCCTGGTCGATCTCGTCTTTCACGAAGAAGTAACGAAGCGAGATGTGCTTCATCCTGTTCGCAAATCCATTTTGCCGATTGGTTGTCGCAGAAGAGAGAGAAGCTCGGTAACTTGGCAATCTTCGCCTCTTCGAGCAGCTCGCGCAGGTACAGTCCTTCCTTTGTAGCTGCACAGAGGGCGATATATTTAGCTTCGGCAGATGAGAGGGTGATTAATTCCTGCTTTCTCGAGTGCCAGGAGATTGTTCCGATAGGTTCCAGGCGGTATATGTAGCCGGTGCGTGAACGGCGGTTGTCCTTATCGCCGACGTGATTGGCGTCGACGTAGCCGATGAGTTTGGTTTTAGTAGCGGCGTTCTTGTGCTAGTTTATTCCGATCGTCGGGGTCGAGACGAAGTAGTGGAGCGCACGGTAGAGTTCCTCTAGATTCCCCCCTTCAGGTCGCTTAAGTTGGGTAGCGAGGTGGCTAGCAGCGTAGGAGAGGTCGGGACGGCAGGTAACGGCGTGGAATAGTAGACAGCCGAGCTTCTGCAGGTACTCCTGAATCCCGGCCGGTGCGAGTAGTGAGGCGGTCGACGCGGGTGCTGGCAGGGCATAGGTGTATGGAGTAGTGAGGGGTAGCGGGGACAGATCAAAACGGCGAGCGATGGTGTCAGCGTACTTTGAAGCAAAGAGATGGATTGTATCGGGGCTGTCGGTGACGTTGAGGCCGATGTACATCACAGTCGGCTACACCGTGATCGTGAGTTGGAATTCTAGCCCGCCCTTGAACCAGACGTTGATGGAGGTTGTGGAGCAAATGTAAAGGAGGTCGTCCACGTATACGATCAGCAGGAGGCTGTAGTCGCCGCTGCGGGACAGGCGGTACATGCCCTGGTCGTGCGGTAGCTGGGCGAAGCCCATGTTGGTTAGGATGCCGTGCAGATACTGCTGGCACAGGCACAGGGCCTGCTTGATCCCGTAGAGGGATTTGAGCAGTTGGCAGACCATCGTTGGGTCGTCGACGTAGGTGTGGGGTTGCTCGACAAAGATGTCAGTTTCGACCGGGGCGTAGAGGAAGGCGGTGGCTACGTCGATTTGGCGTAGTGGAAGACGATGAGCGGCGGCGATGGCGAGGAGGATTTGAAGGGAAGTGTGGCGGCTGACGGGATCGAACGTCTCCGTGTAGTCGTTGCCATATTGCTGTTTGAATCCACGAAAGACCCATCGTGCTTTGAAGCGATCGATAGTCCCATCTCCCTTGGTCTTCACTCGGAAGACCCATTTTCCCGACAGGACTGTTTTTCCATTGTTTTGGGAGATCGGGATCAGCTTCCCGGTGTTACGTTCGTGTAGCACCGCTGATTCCCTGTCCATTGCCTCCCTCCATTTTTCCCTGTGTGGCCCTTGAAGTGCTCACTTGACAGTCTTCGGCTCCTCGACTGGCGGCGGTGACAGAGGATGCACCGCTGCTACCAATCTGAGGATTTGAAGTCCAGTCTCGGTGTATCGGAGGAGGGTTGGATCCTCAGGATAAGCTGCTTCGTCGCCAGCTTCAGGATCAGGTACGAAACCTGGTCCTACGCATTTTGAGACATTTGTGTTGACACTGCGGGGTGTTACGTAACCAGTGACGGCGAAGTGGTAGAAGGCGTCGGCATTTGAACTTTCACGAGGATTATCGTCGTCCATCGGCATGTCAACAGAGCAATAGGGAAGTGGTCCTGCAGCTGCTGACGCGTCAGGGACGTTATGCTCCTCCAGGTCAGCTTCTTCTTCGGTCGAGACGAACGTGCGTGCTCCAGCGAAGCCACCGGATGGGTCCCGATTGGCTACGATATTCTCCAGGTAATGGTTGAGCGTGACGTTTTCGTAGAAAATCACGTCACGTGCTGGTACTGTTTCCTTATTTTCGACGTCGAAGATTTTTCAGGCCTTGGAGTGTTTTTCCACACCGAGGTGAAGACCCCATCTTGCCCGCTGCAAAAAATCGTCCAGCTCTTGCAGTATGGGGACGGTACTGTACCATGCACCCGAATACTCGTAATAATTTTGTGCCGCCCTGCTTTCCTGACCACAGTAGATGTGGTGATGCGTTATTTGGCAGGGAGCTTGATGACAGAAGATTCTGCAGCATGACGGCGTGATTCATCGCCTCCGGCCACAGTGAGTTGGGCAGGCGCATCCTGGTCAATAACTTCCGCATGGTGTTCTGGAGGGTCCAATTCATTCTCTCTGCTATGCCGTTTTGTTGGTGAGCGTAGGGGAGGGTGACGAGCCTCTTGATTCCCCTTTCTGTGAGGTAGACCTTGAATAATTGTGACTGATACTCCATCGCTCCATCTGACTGAAAGCTTTTTAGCTTCATGTCTCCCTCCCATTCTGTTGCAGCAAGCCATGCGACGAAGGCAGAGAAGGGTAGGTTAAGATGCCAAGTGTATCTTGTCACGGCATCGACGAAGGTGATAACATAGTTGAGGTCGGCCCGGCCGACCGCAGGATGTAGAGTATATCGCTGTAGACTTTCTCGACAGGGGTGTGTTCTAGTGCTTTGATGTTGTGATGTGACGAGAACGGCTGACGAGGAAGGTCTGCTTCCGGCCAGATAAAGCAGGTACATCGCGGTCGGCGAAGTTCTTGGCCATCGAGTAGTAGGAGCGCGTCCTTGTCCAAGACTTTCGCACGAATCATGTCGAATAACCTAGAATTTCCAGGATGCCCTAACCGTTGATGCCAAGTTTCTTCGCTTGCCTTGTGTCCCACAGATCGACGATACAGGTCCGAGTTGGCGTAGAAGGCGGAGACGGTCGCGGTGCTCCGATGGTGCTCGTGCAGATACGCCTTCAGCACCTCGGCATCTGTGGGTAGTGGTTCTTCAACGGGTTCCGGTTTAGGCGGAGTTTATTCGATGGGTGGTGCTGACGAAGGTCCCGCGAAGGGACTTCCAGGTAGTTGGCTTGTCGGCACTTCCGTTTCTGCTTCTCGTTCCTCTGTTTCTCGTTCTTCTGCTTCTTGCATCACTGCTTATGCTCGGGTGCCCTCTGCTTCAGGTATGGTGTTGGAGTACCAGAATCCATCGCGGTCGAAACCGGGGTCAAGATCCGGCGGGTGCGTCCAGGGTGCGAAGGAGATGACGACACCACTGTCGGCGGTCCCGCGGTCCGGAACGAAAAGACGAAGACACCGTGCTTTTGGATGGCTCTGCCAATGAAGAGGCTGCCCTTCATGTGGTAGAGTCAGAACTCTCGGTCGAATGTGTCGCGCTCCAAGTGAATTCCCTTTGACATCAGCTGGCTAATGCTGAAGATGTTGTAGCCGAGGTTGTCGACAACGAGTACTCGTGACATTTGTAGTATTAACTTCGTCTTGCTTGATTGTAACTGAACAACCCCCTCCTTCCATGTGCGCAGGTTCTGGTTGTTGGCGACAGTGATGACGACTTCACGACTTAACGTCTTCTCTTGCTTGATGAAGCGCGTTGAAGAACACATATGCTGGCCACAGCAGCTATCAAGAAACCATGTGTTGCGGCCAGATGGTTCGTCGCGGGCGATTGTAGCGTAAGTCGGGTTCGGTTGGAGCTGGGTTTGTGTCGAAGCGGGGGGTTGTTCGTCGAGATCGCTGTGTGGTGGAGAGTCGGGTACGCAAAAGTCCATTCGAGCCATACAAATGATGACGTTCCTTGCATCTTGTGCAGAGCGGTTCGTCGGAGCTGATGGGCGCTGCTGAGTTGAAGCGACCGGATTCGGTGACGGACGTAGCGCTCGGGGTTGATACTGTGAGAACTGCGGTTGCTGCTGTTCATGCTGCTGCTGCTGCCTCGGATAGTTGGAGCGTGAATGTCCAGTCATGCGGCATCGATAATAATACGGAGGTGAGTATTGTTTCTGATGATTGTGGTTGTGGTTGTTGTTGCGTCCATGCGTGTAGAACGCTAGTCGCTAAATTGGTTTCTTCGCATGTCTTTCTTCGTACAGGTCCATGTCTTGCTGCTTGGCGTGGAGCTCTGCGCACAGATGCATCTCGGAGATTCACCCGTGAGCACGTAGAAGGGAGCGCGTCGTGCGCCACTGTGGACCGAGGCTGACGGTGACGAACGAGTCTTCTGATACGTGCCCTCCGCTTCATAAGACTTTGTCGCACAAGCCTCTGCAGCGATTAATGTAAGGCATTGCCATCTCTCTTGGTTGCATCTGGATTGTCGTGAGTTGAGCCATTAGCCGACTCTGTGTCACGCTGTCGGTTGCTTGATATACGCTATTCAGACGGCAGTATGCCAGTTCTGCCGAGTTGTCGAAGTTGTGACATGTCCGGATGCTCTGCTGTTCTATTGCAATCAGGTTGCGCAGGAGGATGGTGAAAGCCATCAGCGATTGATAAGTATAGACTTTCTTTTCCTGAGTAGTCCCATTTGCAGAAAAGGCCCAGGAGGCGGTGAAGAAGCCAAGGATATGTGCGCCGTCCATCAGCAACTCGAAATCGAAGCTCCAGGCAAAGAAGACCTTCCTGTTGAAAGGTGGGGACGTCTGCAGTTTTAGGATGTTGTTAAACTGCTGTTGCATGTTGACGATGTCTGACTGCTTGTTAGTCGTCATTGAGTCCACTGCTACTAGTGCGGGAGTCGGCAGGAATGTGAATGAGCCTAGCGAGGGCTGGTACGGTTGATGCTGTGTAGGCTGTACGCCTCTTGCGTATGATGCACCGTCGAGACTCATGGGGACTGCCCCACTGTTGTTGTTGCTGTTTGTCGATTGAGTAGGTGTCGAGGGCTGCTTGTAGGTCGACATGAAGGAGAAGAACTTCTCCATCAGATTCTTGTCCATGCCCGTGGAGGAGGCCACTGGTTGCGTGGAGGCTCCTGCAATTGCAACAGCCTCAGTCTGGAGTCTAGAGACTGGGGTTGCAGAAGGGGATCCAGTTGAGGATGCGTCGCCCTTAGATGGTGCCATGTCTTGTCATGTCGAGTTGATAACTGGATTTGTTTTACTTGATTCTTCAACGAGTTAGAAAAACTCACTTGAGAGAGTTTGTAACAGGAGCGTAGCTTCTGACAGGCTCTCATACCATGTTGGGCTGATAATAGCCCTATGATCTTTTCAGAATGCGAAGTCCTTGTAACAGAGTGCTTGATAGCACAACAGAAGTCTTGAGTTGAACCCTTGTACTGGTATATGAGGACAATTGATTGATTATAGCAAAGGGATACAAGGTTTATATAATAACACAAGAGAGTATGAAGAGTCTAACAGTTTTGCACTTCGAGGGGTACATACATTCCCTTTTATGATTCGATAAAGGCGACTCGGGTAACCACCCGTACTGTAATATCGGGACGGTTATTTGTCCTTACTGTCGCGCTGACTCTTGACTCTTGCGTTTCTGACTGTTGGGTTGCACGGTCAACGGTCTGCGACCGTTGCCCTTTCGTAAACTCTATGAGGTGTCGTCAACATGTGTGAATCGTCAGGGTGACTGTAGCGGTGTTGACTTGGTAATCCTCGCTGTTGTAGTCTTCGCGTATTTCGTATACTCACGCTAGACTCCGAAATGCGTGAAGTCCTTTTATCATTTCCAAAAAATATGAAGGCTTCCAAAAAACTTAAGCCAGAGCCCTGTGCTGTACTCCATTTTGTTCATCTTCATTACTCGCTCTGTATTGCTCTAGTTCTCAACTTCATGGGGTACGAGGCACGCTTTATCAACCACACATTTTGTCCACTGCTCGTGGTATCTACAAGTCATCCATGCATTGCCATTTTGAAAAAAAACTGGTACCATAGGCAATCGAACCGAGCTCCTATTGCACTCTAACTTTGAAGGACAGTGGGCAGGGTACATACCATCCCGCACAATGATGGTAACCTTGATATAGCCCAAGTGCACCACGCACGCTCGTGTCGGCTCGGACTGAGCTGAACTGAGCCGGGCCTTGTAATCAGGCAATTCAACTGCACAACAGGACCACATGAGCATTTTCCAAGGCACGTCTGATGCAAGGTGTGGAGGAACACGTTCAAAAACCTCCATCTAGTTGTACGTGAATGGGCAGAGATTCAAAGCTCTGGTCAGATGCTGTGGAGAACCTGCCATGCAGGAATGCCACCATGGAAAAATCAACCAACATGCAGAAATATGTACCAATAAATAGCAATTTGTGGCAGCACACAACAGCTGGATCGCCACACACGGCATCATCCCATACATACTACTGGATATCAAGCGATGCCATAATATCTTGATGCATGCCAAACCATGCCATGCCATGTACTCACCCACTTGAGAACGACCATTACGCCATGCAACAAACAGCTCATCTGGTTAGAAGCGCAATGGAGTATCCGCCACACCGTACCATGCCATGCCATCTGCCATAACCCACCCTGGTGAGCGACCCACTGCACCACATCTCAAACAGCACTTCTGGGCTGATAACCACATTGGAGGCCTCAGCAGCAACCATGCTAGCCATCCGATTCCAGATCATGCCATGCCATAACATGCCCTGCCTTCCATTGCCATGCCATGTACCATGACTCACCCTGGAGAAGGGCCCATTGCACCATGCTTCAAACAGCTCATCCGGCTTCAGCCGCACCTCTGGTGCAGCAACAGCAGCACGGTCATCAGCAGCACGGCCGTCGGCAGTAGCAACAGCAGCAGAGCTAGATGGCCCGAGAAACAGTGAACTGGTAGTGGCAGGCGTAGCAGCTGCAGCAGCAGCAGCAGCAGCAGCAGCAGCAGCAGCAGCAGCAGGAGGAGGAGGAGAAGGAGGAGGAAGTTGATGAGCGGCAGCAGCAGGAGGAGCAGCAGCAGAGGGGGGAGCAGCAGGTGGCAGTGATAAAGGTGGAATACGAAGAACGGGTGTTCCGGACCGCGATGTTGGCTGTGAAGCAGAAAGAGGGGCAAAAAGAGCGACCGAGAGAGGTGCAGAGGGGCGCGCTGTGTTTTCTGGGTGGCGGGGAGAGGGTGCTGGGGCAACCTGAACGGCTGCTGCGGATGTTGGAGGTATAGGAGCTAGCAGCAGCCGGGCATTGTTGATTCTGATCAGCTCCGCCTGAATAAGGAGCGATGCAATTGCGCCATCAATGGCAGCGGTTGAATCGGCAGCGTCGATGGCTGCCGGCCAATCAGAACTGACACTCGGAGCCCCGGCAGCCATGGCAGCACAGTGCGGGCCAGGTAGACCAGGAGATACGGCAGCAGCAGAGAGAAACTCAGCAAAGGCGAGTAAAATTGCACCGGCAGAAAGAGAAGAAGCGGCAGAAGGCGCCGTGGGGCAAGGAGCAGATGGGAAAGGAGCAGTAGGGGAAGGAGCATACGCAAAAGGAACAGAAGGAAAACGAGCCGCATTAGCAGAGAGAGGAGGAGCCATATCAGCAGAGGGAGGAGGAGGCGCATTAGCAGCAGCATCCCCAGCAGGTACGTGCTGATGCCTATGGCTGGTGTCAGCAGAGACTGCACCCTGTGCTGCATGGTAGACAAGTGGCCACTGATTCGCAACAACTGGCAAACTGCAACAGGCATTGATTCCCTCCGCAGAATTCTCTTGCTGATGCACCTGCTGATACACCTGCTGAGGCATCTGCAAATTCGTCTGCTCAGGTAGGGCACCCAAGAAGAAGGCTTCAGTCTCCTCCAGGTCCTGCATAAGCGACTCGACCAAGCATGTGGTTTCAACACCCTTCCATTCCTGTGCAGGTGCTGCAACCAGAAATGAGGTTCCGTGGTCCACTTTCCCATGAGGAAGGGAGAGCGGAGGGGGGAGAGTAGTGGGGGTAGTTGGAGGAGTGGGAGGGCGAGTAGGAGGAAGATCGAGAGTAGGGGGGCGAATAGGAGGGAGAGTAAGAGAAAGAGTAGGATGACGAGGGGGAAGATGTGCAGCGAACGGTTTCGAGGCTGATGACTCGGATGTGGCCTGGAGAAGCGGTTGAGAGGGGAACACTGGAAGGCAATGCTCTGATCCTGACAGGTGCATCTGTGGAGTTTGAAGGCTTTCTTTTGGCGCTGAACGGATAATTCGCGATGTCGGAATGTGTACGCGCTCGGGTGCACATAGGGAGTGTGAGGACATTGCTGCTGGGCTTGTAATTCCAACCATCATCTCATCACTGGCTGCTTCTGCTGCTTCATCCTCCATATTGGCTTGGCTCATCACTGTTGTTGCTGATTCAATCTGAAGGTCAAGTGTAGCAGATGCGATTGGCTCTCCTGAAGCTCTCTTGCACGAGCCCTCTGCTCTTGCAGCTGCGGTTGAGTTCTGCATCCCCCGCATCAGAGGGCTGCTCTCAGCCATGGTTGTTTCCGTGTCCCATTGTTGATGGTTTGGCGTGTGCTGATGCTGAGACGACGCGTGGTGCTGATGACACAATCTGAACTGCTGCTGACGACAGCAGGAGTGGTGCTGATGACAGAATGAGGCTCTAAGAAGACATTCATCTCGTTCATCTAGAGTCTGCTGCGTTGTCTTCGCCGTCCCCATTCCAGCATTCGCAGGCATTGTTGGCGCAGCAGCCATCCCAGTCGCCCGGGGCATCGTTGGCACAGCAGCCGCATTCGCAGGCACCGTCCGCACAGCAGCAATCCCAGCTTTCGCAGACTTCGCCGTGTCTCGTGTCAAGCCACCATCTGCAGCCACCGTTGGCACAGCAGTCAACAGTGGCACAGCAGCCACCGCAGGCATGGTGGGCACAGCAGGAGTGGTGGGCACAGCAGGCATCTCCACTTTTGCAGCCATGTCCATGTGTGGTGTAAGATGACCCAGCTTGGAGAGCTTCCTGCATGCATTATGACCGACAGGAAACATGGAGATCATGTGACATGGGACATGGGGGGAGATGGGAAGCAATGGTATGAGCCACTGAACTCTACGCCAGGTCAGGTGACGCACTAAAGGCGGCTTCAGCGGCAAACCCAACACACAATAAAGTAGCAGGGAAGTGCTACCATGTAGAAATCACCTCTTGAGCAGAATATAGCGGTTACAGCACGCCTTGTGATTTCGTGTGGGCAGCAGGCCCATGGATTTGACAAGTAACCAATTTTGTGTGCCATGCTTTGCCACGTGGGCCAATAAGATCTTGTCTTCCTGCTCACGCCCAACAGTAGAGCACCCGAGCCATGGCAATGTTAAAAAAAACTCTCAAAATCAGGGCCATGGCCATGGCAGAGATTATAATAATAATAAAAGGTTTTAAAAGGGACCATTTTTCACAATGCATGTTTTTAGCAAAGGTGGTACAATACCTCCGGCGTCCAAAGTGCTCCAGCTATTCTCCTGCTCCGAGCAGTCCTCTGCTTAGTAGCGCCGGTGGACATCTCCTTTCTAGGTCTCAGACTTGACACAAACCTCATCTGTTTCTAGTAATTTGATCCAAGGGGTCAGCCAACGACAGACGTCGTTTCTACTAGAACGAACTTAGTAAGAAGTCCTAGGACCTCCTGGTACTAGTCAGGCTGCCTCGCGGTGAGAACTGGGAACTGGGGGGAGTGGTTCCTCCAAGAATTTCCTTCATTGGAAGCTCAACTTCCAGCTTAGACAATTATACTGTATGCTGTGTGAAAGAGCTCAGTGGACGGATGGAGCAGAACCCTGCTCTGGCTCAAACAGCTTGTGATAGAGCCGCAGGAAGATCTCATCGCCCGAAATTATATCTCGACCGAGATTGTACATGGCTTTCGTTTGGAAGTTCCACGGCGCAGGGAATCCTTCTAGAGAGTGCGTTTCCGAAGCTTAAGGCATTTTCGGCGTCACTAAAAAAAAGCTGCGCCTTCACAGACAATCAATAATACTGTTACGCAGGCGTTTGGAACGTGGATTCCAAACTCGGACAACTAGCTGCAATGAGTAATCCGGCGGGTTTCCCACTGGGAAAATCCAGCTGGAGACACCACATTGTGTAGACCAGAACAGACAGGCAGTGGCGGAAAGTCCTCCAGATGCAGCTGACGGATGCTAGGGTGTAATAGCTCAGATTGGGTTCTGAAGTTTGGAAGAAAACCGAAGTTAGGGCAAGAGAGGTGGTTCTTCATTCTGTATACCTATTCCTCCTGATATAAACAGAACCGAAGGATACTCTCCCAGTTTACAAAAGATTCGATTTCAAGGTCTCGGCCCGAATGTCCTCTTGAGCTGTATGTTTCGGCAAAAAAACTGCTGGCGCAGCGGAGTCTCGATTAATTGTGTCGGTTTGGGGATTGATGAATCATTCAACCTTACAACGCACGAGCATACCCGCAACTTACACCACCGTCCCGAGAAATTTGAAATTACCAAAACTCATTCAGGGATCTCCGGTTGGGGGTTGGGGGGATACGCTCACCGCAATCACCGAATATTTTTCCCCACATCGCTTTTAGAGTGGGTAAAAAATATGATTGGAAGGAAAATATGATGTTACTATCAGAAAAGAGAACAATAGGAGTAGCATCGCGAATAATGGTGGTTTCAGTACGGTGCTTTGAGTTTATGGTAGGCTACATTGAGTATATCTGGTTCGGTGCCTCAACATCGGGGCTGTCGACGAATGTCGATGGGTACTTCGGACATGCTCCTCCACCGACGAACGGGGCACCCCCTTCCTCCCCTATCTCGGACCTCCTCCCCCTTCTTCCAAATCCCGAAACAGTGTGACACTGCCACGGGTGCGGAAAGTCTCCAGTTTGAAAGCAAGAGGTTTCACCACCATCAGGTTATATCCGACACACGCAAACTCCGCTAAGCATATTTAGAAAATACTTAGCCCGTTGTTATCTTCACTTAGCGAATAGTTGCGCGTATCGTCATTGCAGCAGTCGCATACGACCTAAGCACAGAGAAGTTACGACAGCCACCGAGTAGCCACGCATTACGAGCAGCTGTACCTACTACGTATCTGAAAGCCACATTTTTGTGACGTGTCATTTTCGGGGTGTGGAAGTCAGAAATGTTTTCCCCGCAAATTTATCGAATGGGCATTTACTATGTCAGCAGAAGCCCCTGAGAGTGAATTCTGCACCTGGGGTATGACCCGTGGTTGAACCGAAGGAGCCGCGGGGTTTAGACGCTCAACCTTTGGTCTAGTGACTTTGACGGTCGGGCGCCTACAGAGGTGCAGAAAGTCGCAAAACGAGTTGACGATGTACAGAAAACGGCACAGAGCTGTCGCCTAGCGAATTGGGAGGTGTACATTGGTGGACGACGCACTTGCGCCACCTCTAGTCCGGTAGGTTTGTCTGCGAACAGCTTGTTTCCAGTCAAGCAGCCGTCAGGAGTCGTAAGACCCGAGACAATTTTTGTCCACCTCTAGTGTTACCGCCTGACACTAGTGTCAGACACGAGCTCCAGAATTTTCCTCAGGGTACACACACGTGAATAGATCGAACGAGGATTCGCGTGAAGATTTTCCGGGACAAGGCTCAGGGTATCTGGCTAGAGCCCCGTCAGTGTCTGGTTCAACCCATATTCTGTAAAACAATTCCCGGTAAAATTCGGGTACAAAGAACAGCCAACTCTTAAGCAGTGTACTAGCTTGGAAGAGAGAAAGCAGGGAAGCTGCATGCCGGACCAGCTCTACGGCAGTTTTCAAACACGCAAAACATGTAAGGGGACTAGGGAGGGTGGGGGGGGGGGGTGTGTAGACGGAGGGTGGAGGATATCTGCCAGTTGGCTATCCGTGAATCCGTACCAACATAAAATACTACCCCGATAAATCTTGGTCCACTTAGAGAGAACCCGTCAGAATCCGGGCTCGGCTGGAAAGTCAGCCGTCAAAATCCTCAAAACCGGTTAGGTAACCGTGAAGAAAATGGTTCTGTACAGTTTATGCCGTGCTCTCTACTCTATGCTCTGTTCGTTTCGTTTGTACAGACAAGTCTCGCACTCTGCCAAACATGTGGCTGGACAGTGTGAGACCCTGACTGTGGCTTCTTGTAAAGCCAATTGATTCATTTTGAAGTACTCTCTCGAATCAGTGTGGTCACCAGGGTTTACCCTCACGTAAGTGCTCTCTCTCCCTTCTTACCTTCTTGAGGCTTGAACCTTGATACAGCAGGCGGAGATCAGAGAATTGATCCGCGCTAATGTCTGATCAGGATACACTTTATAATATCACGCTGAGATCTAGTGTAATGAGAGTATTTACTCTAGAAAAGGGGTCTTCCTTTTTGGCATCTGCCCGCCCACTCTGCTTCAGTTCTGTAAGCGGGTGCCAGGATCAACCGCTGCACGCTGGCACCTAGCTGGCCGGGATCAATTCCTGCCAGCATGGACAGTGCTGGCACAGTGAGCGTACAGTAACACGTACAGCCAACGCTGGCGCCGAGAACCCATTGGTTGGGAAGCTCTGCTTACGCGAGAAAGGTAGATACCGCGAAATTACAATCAAGGCCCACTTTTAGGGCGGGCTTTTCCAAGGTCTTGTTCGTTAGGAATTCTTAGCCCGAGAGCTCTAGCGCCCAGCAGCAGTGAAATGAAGCTTCCGATACCCACGGGCTAGACGACAGGGGCGAGTTGCGGAGACCTGGGTCAAGGAATGAAACAAGGGCTTACACCTGGCCCGCAGTATTTTCGCACCCAGTATTTTCATCGGGGGTGCTGCCGAGAGGGCATTCATCCCCCGAAAACAGCCCCTGAGGAGAGGAAATCGCACGCCTCAACGAAAATAAAGAATGGTTCAAAACGGTCGACCCTTTTTGCACACGATGTGTGGCATGCCCCTGTTACCCAAAACGGTCGACGACCTCCCCCGACTGTACCCATTTTTGTGTTGGGTTCAGATGCCACTACGTTTTTTCGGGGCAACTCGTCTGGGCAGCATGTGTAGGGTCCAAGAAGGGGTACTACGCCAAACAATGACGGCAGATTAAGGGCTGGGACATTCGAAAAAGGCACGCAGTCCGGATTTTGACAAAATAGCGGGTGAGGTTTTCGCTGAACTCGGATTCCGACGGGGAACTTTTCCAAAAACAAGGTTTGAACATGGATTCTGACGGGTGAATTTTGGCAGAACGGGCTGTGAAACCCGGATTTGACGAGTGAATTTTGACAGCACATAGTGTTGAACACGGATTATGACGGGTAGCTTTGGCCAAGTACCCGGATCTGGCGGGTGCCCCAAAAAGCAGACAGAAGCTTCTGCCAAAATCCGACACATTTTTGTCCGATACTAAATGCATGTTCGCGCAACAGTTGAATTGGGATCTGGCAAGTGTTTTCACTGCGACCCAAGATTACATTTCCAATATTCTGCATATCAAAATGAAAACAGTTACAGTCGAGAGGGGTCGACCGTTTTTTGTAACGGGGGCATGCCATACATTGCGCGCAAATATGGTCGACCATTTTGAACCATTCTTGATTTTCGTAGAAGCGCGCGATTTCCTCTCCTAAAGACCAGATCCGGATACCCTTGAAAAACAAATTGTACTTGGGTTTCTATACGAGACGTTTACTGTTCGATTTAGTGTTTCTCGAGTCAGGAAACCCGACGTCAGCTTAGGCAATGCTCAAAGTTTTGCCAGCGTGAAGTCTGCCAAGCTTAGGCCATAGGTACAAGGGGTTACTGTCTACGCACTCATAAATGGTCAGGGTGGAAACAAAAAATCTTATGCCGCCCAGGTTCATGGTGTGATATGATGCTTAGTCTGCTGCTTACTACTGTCACCCATGTTGCATTACATGTGTAATCCGCAGAAAATCCCCATCACACACTCGTAGCAGGGAGGCGTTGGCGGCAAAAGATGCGGCAACAAGCAATCTCGAGCTCGCCATCATCAACAAGGCCATCCGCTCAGTCGCCGAGTTGTTAACCCTTGCCGGCAACTGGCAGGCGTAGTTCAAGGAGCTGCATAACATCTTCACACAAACCAACCTCGACATGCAGGGCATTTACAACATATGCTGGTTGTCTCGAGGTGATGCGGTTGTATGACTTGTTGCCGTGCTCCCTGCAGTGGTCATTCTGCTACTTGAGTATGATGACGCCATATATAACATCGTCAAAGACTTCGAAATTCACTTCTTCCTGTACTTCCTTGCTGACATGCTCGCATTGTTGAACAGCCTCAACAAGGCATTCCAACCCCGTCAGGTTGGTTTGTAGACACTCTGTGTAGTTTTGTTGTCTCATCGTTTGTGCCGCCGAGCTCTCCGAAGCCCGTATGCCCTACAGGTCGATTTGACATTATTCCATAGACTCATCACGCGTACAGTGGTGTACATCAAGCATTGCTACGTGGAGTGCGGCGCCAACTTCAGGGGCCGCAAATCCCCATTCCTCATTAGATTCATCAAGGCGCACCGAACAAACTGCAGCGTCACGGTTAAGGGGTGGAACTCCAGCGGCGAGGTGGTGCAGCACAAATTCAACATGCACGACGAGAACCTGGCCGGGGACCAAGATGAGAGCTGCAACGTCTGCATGCGGTTTGTGATGGCGACGGCCCGTAACATTATCGAGCGTCTTGGTGATCTCGAGAAGCGGACAGGCTGCACGCAATTCACCCCTAACGCCTGGCCGCCTGGGAAGAAGGAGCGCAACAGCCAGCGCAACAGCCGCTTGGCGCTCTTCGACCTCTTTGGGGCAGCTGGCCAGAGTGGGGTCTTACCCGGTGAGCACGTGTTCGTTAGTACTTGTTTCGCTGTGGCATGCATCCCGCCTGTCCCTAGGTTTTCTAGCTCCTCCGTACAATCCTGTCTCACATGCCTTTTTGCACCGCCCTTTC